TTAGATCTTATGCTTTACTGTAGTGAACAGCATGACTTCACGCTGGTTAATTACACGTTGTTCAATGTTTTCACTGTATAATTTGTGTGTGTTTGAAAGGTGAAACTGATAATATCTGAGGTGTTAGTTGAGAGTGTTCACTATTTTTGAAAAACAACAAAGCAAAACTACAGTTTTTGCAGAATAAACTGGTTCAATCTTTTATTTTTTTTTGCCTTCTCGTCAGTTGCTTACAGTTAAAAGACACTACCAAATATATCTACAAAAGCAATTTTAACATACTTGCACAGAGTTCACTTCAAACAAATATTAATCGAACAATTATGATCATACATAATGGAAACGTTTAAGCATTACGCATTCAGATGAAATAGAGATGAAAATATCCAGTTACCGGACAGCAGGGCAAACGAAGACTGATAACCGCTTCTTTCTGGACGCATAAATCAGGTTTCAGGCGCTTGATGGAGATGACTTCAGAAAATCTTGGAGAGAATCGAGCTCTTTTGTCTGTTGATGATTTTGAACGATTTGGCGACGTGCACCTCATGATGATCCAGCCATGTCAATGAGATGCCTGGCGATGAATGGCACTGGTTAAAACATTTGTTCCCTTTAGACATGTTCAGAAAATCGTAGATATGCCCTTCTTTCTTTCTGTCCTTCGAATGTAACTGCTTCAGCAGATACATGTAAAAAATCATTTTTGTAGATATATTTAATAATGTTTTTCGCCTGTAAGCAGCTGACAAGAAGGCAACGAAATAAACAATGATGGTATCAATCTATTCTGCTAAAACTGTAGTTCTTGCTTTGTTCAAACAGTATTTGTTTTTTGCTGGAGAAATGAACTTTGGGGATGTACTAGTTAGAAGAGAGATATTTGATGGGACAGTAGGCAGTAACTAATGTCATGTGGCTCGACACCATGATTCATTCTGACTTGTTGTTATTAGATTGTTGGGAGCAGTCGGTGGGAAGCCTTCGGCTTAGGTTTCACGTGTTTGTTGGCACTGGTCACTAAGGCCTATCCGCATTGTTGAGGGAACTCATGTCCTTTTTCTGAGGTTCAAACGCAGGTCGTCCATTGCTGCGATAACAGACGTTGCCATGGAACTATTCGGGCTTTCTCTTATCCTCCACCTCTAGGACTGTTAAAGATGGTTCGGTTGGTTACGATTCGCTAACTCTTGCATCCTGCCTATTATTTTCTATTGTTCCGCCTGAGTTTTTCCAGGGCTACTGAAGAAGGACCATATATCTTATTACGTAGGGTGTTGAAGGTTGTCAGAGGGGTAAGCAGTGCGCCACTCAACCAGCTTGTTAATATTCTGGTTGACAGGCAGGCACTTGGACTCATGGGGAAAATGAGGGCTAAATCCATTCTATCTAACTCACACCACCCTCTTCATTCACAACTCTCCCCTCGTATCTCATCAGGAAGAATCAGAAGCCTGTATATAGAAAACTATGTGTGCTCGCACTAGCAAGTACAAAAACTCAACCATACCCTACTTAGCTCGTGTTCTGTGCGATAAAGAAAGCATTAGGCGTGAAACTTATAACTTATTAAATAGTCAGTAGAACAATTGGATCTCGTCTTTCCAACTCATATCATTTATAGGTACAACGTTTTCTTTCTTTTCTTTTCCTCTATTTTTTCTTTTGTTATGTGCTGTTTTGTTTCTCTCTTCCTTACAAACTCTACTTAAAACATTCTTCTTCGTTCTTTCACACTCCGTATGTCTCAACCTTTTTGTTACTGCTTAACACCTTCAAACATTCTGTTCACTTTTGGCTTTGCTACCGATATGCTACCGATATATTGTTGTCAAAATTAACTGAGACTACCCATAATCTACGTAGAATTTCATTTATTGTTAATGTACACAAACTGGATGCAGTACTGTAGAATTCCATTCTGTATCACAAGTACTGTTTTGAAATAAAACAAAACTGTAACAGGCATTACATCAGTGGTAAAACTGGGCGTCCCCTTCGAATCATAATCATCCAGGAACACAAATCAGCTGTGATGAAAAGACATGATATATACATTCTTGTTTCATATCAATGCATATATACATAATTATGGAGATCAGTTTGATAACTGGGATAATGTCGAAATTTTAGACAGAGGAAATACCGCCAAAAGTGTAGTCAGGGAATTCCTAGAAGCCTTGCACTCAAACGAATCAACCAGCGAATAACAAACACGTTAATATAGACCAAATATACCAACTAATAAAAAGTAAATCATGTGACGAGTAGGTTAAAAATCCAAGTCAATAGAAAATGGTCAATACATATGTAAAGATGGTTACCGGGAGACGCACGCATTTCTATCACCACTCATGGAAGAAATTAAAATCAGTTCACTTTACGCTAAAAATTCCGCTGAAGGGTGATGTTGTCCAGCCGTTGGATGGTGGGGGACGACGAAAGCTCCGCAACTAAACCAACCAGCTCCTCAGAGAACACTATTAATTAATTGCAAATCATCCACCTGAGCTACAAATCTTCTCTATTATTTCAAAGCAAGTTACTGCCATTATTATTATTAGTGACTAATGTTATGCATATACTCTTTTGTTCAAATCTCGGAAGGGAGATAAGCTGCACCTTCAATGTGGTTGCCGATGCGCCTCGCTGACTGACTGACCGGTGAGTGCCAACTAGCAGCACGAAATGTAGGTGTAGGCAAGACTTCCTCTGGCCAACCTGCCTCTAACCACCTAACTAACAGCAACAGTACAGAGCGTAACTTGATAGCGAGCCACCTAGTAGCATGGTGTAGCCACATTTCAAACCTGACTGACTGACTCACAGAATTCAGGCTGCACCAAACAAAGGACTAGCCAGACACGTCACATTAGTTACGTACTATTGATTGTCCAGTCGAAGACATCTTCATCGCAACTTCAAATGCGTGCCCTAACGAAGTTACGGCTGCAATTCGAGTAGAATAGTGTTTTCCAGTCTAACCTGGATTCAGGGTTGCTTCGGAAGGAGAGAATTTGTTCGTGTGCTAGTGGTAGTGGTGACTTTAAAAAGCTTTAGCAGATCGATTGATGGATATGTCCATCGTTGTGCAATTTGCCTGAGACGACTTAGTATTAGGGAAGGTAAGCTGATGATTTTAATATTTCGTAGGAACTATTTTTTTTGCAAGGTCGCATCTCTCCCTAACCCAAATTTTGTATATTTGTAACTACTGGGTTTTAAAACAGCCTGTGAGAGGCGCAGCTGCTGAAACCGAAAGCAGCCTCGTGGTACCAGCACTGCAGAGATATTGCATTGTGGAATATGGAGAGAATTACTTCTTTGTTGGGTGGGGAAGATATCGTTGTGCACGTCGACGAAACTGTGTTGGTGAAGAAGAAATACAACCGTGGTCGTCAGCGAGCCAACAATATTTGGGTAATTGGTTTATATGATACCTCCCTCGGAAAAGAATTCGTGGAAAGGATAGCAGATAGAAAAGCAACTACTCTCATACCTATTATTACCAGATTTGTAAAACAGGGATCAATAATACATACTGATGAATGGAAAGGTTATAACTCGGTGTCATCTCTTGGATATATTCATCATAGAGTGAACCATTCAAGTGATTTTGTGCATCCCATTACGGGGACACACAAATTCTATAGAAGGAATTTGGGGAAGATTGAAAAATAGGATTAGGGCTATAAATGGATCTCAAAAGGATGCCATTTATAATCATTTGAACGAATATATATGTACAGAATGTGGTGTGACTTCTCTAATGACATTCCTATGCTAAAATGGGAGATGTTTCTCTGACATGTTAGAGAAAGATACCCTATGTCGTAACAGTTTTATGCAGTTTTTATGCTTTTTGTTCCAAAAATATACGTTTTCCCTTATCATAAACGCCTCTTCCATGTGATTGGTCCGTTTAAGGTCGTTTGCTGGTTGGCTGTTAGTCGGACTCAAAGTTTGACTTTGCCATCGTCTGAATCCTCCCTCCATAAATGTTTGAATTGTATTTCCTGACAATCTTTCAACAGGATTCCCAAATTCTTGTCTTAAATCATTACCATCAATGATAATAATAATAATTCTGGTGGATTGGATTATGCATCAGACAGTGGGAAACGAGAAGACATGGATATCCTGGACCGACGTGAAGAATCTAGAAGACCTGGATTTCGCGCGTGGATGATTTATGTTTGATGTCACACAAAATCGAAGACTTACAAGCGAAAACCGACAAACTGGTCGAAGAAGCAGCAAAGACACGACTCCAGCTGATGAACATAGACAAGACGGAGGTTATGAAAATAACCAACCAACAACAACAACAGCAGCAGCAACATCCACCGCCAATCACCATCAACGGAAGGGATTTGAAAGAGGTTACTGCTTTCACTTATCTAGCTAGGGAGCATTGTCTCAATTACAGGAGGAGGAACGGACGAGGATGTCAAATCAAGAATCGTGAAGGCGAGAAACACATTCATCAACCTGAAACCAATCTGGAAATCTTCGTCACTCAGCAATACTCAACAACGAAGTTCGGATTTTCAATACAAACGCCAAGTCAGTCAGTTCTTCTTTACGCACGGATGAGAAACTTGACGGCGGGTCACAAAGAATATTTCCAACAGCCTGTTGCAGACCTTTATCAACAACAACTGTCTTCGCTAGCATCATACTGAAGATCAGATGGGCGGAAAGAACAAGAATCACAAACAAGAAGTTATGGGAACAAACAAACGAAACAAGAACCAGTCTCCCAACAAATAAATATGCAGGAGAAAGTGGAGATGGATGGAGTGGACACTCGCTGAGGAGATCGTGTGAAGATGAGTTGAAACAGTATGGATTAACATGGATGCCGGTGTGGAAAGTTCACCAGCAGACAGAAGCAAGGAACTCAAGGGAACAATAAAAATAATAATAATATTAATAATAACAATAGTGAGTAATGACAATAATAATGATAATGATAATGATAATAATATTAAACTCACATATAAGAAAGACAATCAAAGCACAGCCAAATGCAAGTATTGGCGTGGCAATATTCTCCCCACCCATGGTTGTGTGATTAATTTTTGGTTTTTGTTTGTTTGTTTGTTTCTGCTGAACTTGACTAATTAAAGCTGAGTAGTAGTAGTAGTAGTGGTCGGATGCGGTAATAAAGTAATGTTCCACATGGATTGGTGATTCACCTCAGAGACGTTTCTCTCTCCTACAGAATGTCGATGTACATTTGTTTTGTTTTTATGTGAGTTTTTTTGTCTCTAACTCCTCTGATACATTTAAAAAAAATAGTCAAGCGGTGTTAATCAGCACTGATAATGATTGTCGACGTCGTTGCTCGGAGGTAATAGTGAGTGTGTGTGGGTTTGAGTAGGCCGCTACTAGTTTTGCTGATGGTTTGGCTATTCGACTATCGTTGAAGCGTCGTACACGCAGCAGCTAAACCAGCATTATATTAATATACGTCTATATATATATGCAGATATTTAATTGGTGAATTAGAAATTTTGTTAAAACCCCCAAGCAACAAATCCTGATTCGATGTAAATTGTGATGCACCATATTATTACCATTACTACTATTATTATTCTTATTATTATTACTATTGTAGCATTGAGATGCTCAATTGAATGCATGTCTATATCGTTCGATGAATGATTGGTGGGTAGAAGCAACACAACAGCACCAAAATACCTGCTCAATTATTTCTGTGTGTGTAAGTGTGCAGCTTTATATATTATACGTAAGCAACAGTTGTACTGAGCAATTGTGTGTGTGTGTGTGCAATCGAGTGAAGGACAAACATTCACTGACACTGTTAAACAATCCACCCTTCTCTCTTTTCTTTTAAATATAATTTCATCAATAATTCATTAAACAATCTTAAGAATGAAAGAAGAAAACCACATATATGTGTATCCATGTTGAAATCTGTTATTTTTGAGAACATGTGCTATGTCTTCTTTTGTGATGAAACGCGTTTACTGTAATACACAAACCTGTTTGCTTGTCAAATGTCAAAGTAACTGCTCTGAACTTAATGGCTGATTTCTGTCAGAAATCAGCCAGTGTGGTCCAAGGAAAACGGTCACACCCTTAAATCCCTCAAAAAACCAAAAAGTCGATTTCACCTTTAGGCGCATAAATCTGACCTAAACAATCTGGTTGGTTCCCACGAGGTGTGCAAGCATAGATGGCACTGAAAAATAGAAACCAAGTCGGAAATTAAATACCTAGGGGCGTCATTCTATCTGCTGATCTCCCTTGGTCGTCTTATATCTTGATGATTTCTAAGAAAAGCATTCCGTCTTACCTTCTACATCAAGAAGTTAAGACATTCTGATGGAATAGCCCAACCCAATCCTTACCCTTACGATTCGTTAACTGTTGCATCGTGCCTATTATTCTCTATTGTTTCCCCCTTAGATTTTTCCGGGATACTGAAGAAAGACTATAACATATTACGCAGGATGTTAAAGGTTGTCAGCAGTGTTCCACTTAACCAGCCTGTTAATATTCTGGTCGACAGGCGGGTACATGGACTCATGTGAAAAATGAGGGCTAAATATATTCTGTCTAACTCACACCACTCTCTTTACTCACAACTCTCCCCTTGCATCTCATCAGGGAGGACCAGAAGCCTATATAGAAAAGTATATGCTCACACCAGCAAGTACAAATACTCAACCATACCCTACTTAGCTCGTGTTCTGTGTGATAAAGAAAGCATTAGGCATGACACCTATAATTCATTAAATAGTCAGTAGTACAACTGGATCTCGTCTTTCCAACTCATATCATTTATAGGTACAACATTTTCTTTCTTTCTTTTCCTTTTCTCTCTCTTTTTTTCCGTTATGTGCTGCTTTGTTTCTTTCTCTCGCTTACGCCTGGAAATATGACAGCACCTACTTTTCTAAGACCTTCAAACAATGTTCAGCTTTACCTTTGCTACCAACATGCCAATATGTTGTTGTCATAATGAACTGAGATTTCCTTAATCTATGTAGAATTCTATTTATTGATAATGTACACAAACTGGATGCAATACTGTAGTAAAAATGCTGAGAATTCCATTCTGTATCACATGTACTGTTTTGGAATAAAGCAAATTATTATTATTATTATTTCGAGGATTCTTCTCAACTGGTTACAACCTGAACGATAAAAAAAAAATATATATATGAATTAGATTGTGAAGATTTGAACATACACTTTCCACGATCACAAAGGAGTAATTGGTTGGTAGGAAGTGTAAAAGTAACATTAGTCCGGAATGATGTAACTAATTAAGAGTTATAGACACACTGACTATTTATAGAACGATTAGACAATTAGGCCTGGAAACAAAAACAGAGTTACGTATATATATATATATATATATATATATATAGAAACAAGGTTTAGCTAGAAAGAGCATAACAAAAAGTAGATTACGTAACTAAAGAAAATGTTTTATCTAATAGCCAATAGAAAAAAGAAGAGAAAAGAACAAGATAGGATGAGTCATGTTTAGATAATGGTTCTCACCCATCTTTACTATTCACGGTCAAAGAAGAGTTGAATTCCTCATTTCACTTCCTTGATGTAAAGCTAGATAGAAGAGAGAATGACACGCTGTTAAGGTCGATTTACCGAAAGCCAACATTCACTGGGCAGTACACTAACTTCAACACTTGGATACTGTTAGGGAGAAAGAGAAATCTTATTCATTCCTTATGCTCTAGAATTCGTAAAATCTGCTCTGCAGAGACAACCCATAGTAAACTAGATAAGCTTCGATCAAATCTCCTTAACAATGGTTATCCTACAAGGTTTATCGAACGTAATATCAAGAAAGAATCCGCCCCCAGACTAATTACAGTGCCAAAGAAAGAACTATTTATGAGTCTGGCATTCAAAGGTGACACCATTTCGGAATTGATTAAAAATCGTTTATCTAAATGTATTGAAAACGTACTTTTCCTGCAGCTGACTTGCAACTAGTTATTTACCAGCCGAAATATGATTAGACAATGCCTCAAGGATAGATTACCGCTTTTGTCCACATCCATGTGTATTTACTCTTTTACCTGCCCTTGTGGAGCTGTTTATATTGGATGTTGCAAGCGTAATCTCCGAAAACGTATAGCTGAACACTATCCAGTTTGGTTAATGAAAGGCGAATGTAGAACTGCGAAGTCGTCTATCTGTGATCACCTGTTAGAGTCAGGTCATTTAGCCAGCCCCACGTGATTCATCTTTCAAAGTTATCTACATGGCAAAATCGAATCGATCCAAAAGTTTGTGTTTTCTTCACTTATGCATAGCCGACGCCTTAGCTATCTATACATGAACTGAAACCTAAATTATGTGTTCAAAAACGTTTTGTCAAACCCCTTTTTTACCTTGGTCATAGTAACGTTCTTTCTAGTTTTTACTTTATTTTATTTTACCACTTGAATTCTTTCCACTTCACTTCACATCTTCATTCTTATCGTAATCGTAGTCCTAATTTTTAAAAAAAATTTTTAGACAACACTTGACATTTTAAAAACATTTTTGATTTCAATTCACTTATAAAACAATCTTTAATAATTTTGTAATTTATCCACTTCAACTCTACCCCTTATAACATTTTAATTATCGTTATTCTTATCACATATATATATGTACATTGACTGAGCAATTATTTAGTGCCACTTAATAACTTTTTTCTGTAATGTAAATACGACTGTACAGTTGGCTTGAAAATGGAGTCGTTGAAAAGAAATTTCTTCGCTGAACAAAAAACTGTGTTTCTACTTATGAATATTCATGGGGTCTGTCTGTCTGTCAAAAGTTGTTGAAATAAATGGTCTCTTTTTTCAAGTTGGCGCATGGTACGACTGATGTACTCAACAGCTCCACCAGAGAGCAAGTAAACTCCTGGTATATGCACATTGAAATGGCCCAATGAAACAGCTTGTCTTTCGCGTTCTGTTTGAAGATTAGTTTCTTGCAGAAAAACGTTAGTCATAGTCTCGCCGCAAAGTATGTCTTCCTCAGAGATTTATGGAGGCGTTTCCGACGGAATGTTTCACTTCCTCGACGTCCATCTGACAAGAAACGCCGACAACTCTCTAAAAAGGTTCATATACAAAAAGCTCACATGGAATGGACAATTCATAAGGGCTTATGGGAAATCGTCATCTGAATTGATAACAACCAGTGGTGTCCTTCAAGGATGTCCACTTTCCCCCGTTTTCTGTTTAACTTCATCATAGATGTGCTAATGGAAGTATTCTTAACTGAACTTAACGACTCAGGTGGAATCGACTTGTTACCGGGGAATAGTCTTATGGACTTAGAGTATGCAGATGACATTGTCCTGTTAGGGGAAGATGCTGACAAAATACAGCAGAGTTTTCTGAACACCTTGAGCTGCAGCAATCTCCGTATGTTTGGCGTGTGATTCGCCTCTGTAAAATGTAAGATGCTGCTACAGGAATGACTGGACTACGTCAACTCATAGCTTAGTGATAGGGAGTGAAGTGGTAGAACACCATGTTGACCGCTTCACCTATTTGAAAAGTTGTTTCAGCACCAACATACTGATTGGCGACGAAATCTCAGCATGGATCCAAAAAGCTCGAGCTGCTTTCGCTAACTTACACCATCTCTGGCGTAGGCATGACATCCGACTATCAACCAAGGGACGTGTGTACTGCTCAGCAGTTCTCTCCGTCCTTCTCTATGGCTCTGAAACAAAACATGATCAATACGAGTTGAAGACATGAAAAGGTTGTCTGTTTCTGATCATAGATGTCTACGATCTCTTTCTCACGTTAGGTGGTATAATAAGGTAAGTTATGTTGACGTTAGGCGTAGAGTGTTGGGCGAAGAGGGAAAACCAGTTGACGAGGCTATAAAGTTACATAGATTGAGATGGTTAGGTCACGTGCTGTGCATGCCTAACCATCGCCTCCCCCGACGGGCATTACTAGCTGATATAGGTGCAGGTTGGAAAAGAGTAAGTGGTGCCATGCCAAACAAAAACATGGCCTCATCAATCCATGAAGTCCTTGACAGTTAAACTGAGTCAGGTAGGGAGATGCAAACTTACGGGTTAGGGCCCTCGGGACTCTAAGAATCAATGGCTGGAGACAGACAATAGGCGACA